CTATCTCGTCAGCACGGACTGGGTTTTCAAGATGTTGGTCCTGCCGCGAAATCCTGAAGCATAGAATAGACTATAGGGGGATGGCTAAAGGAACGTGAGCATCGAAAGTTGTAAACGAGCATATTGGCGAAAAGTGATAGTTTTAATATGGCAGTGGGACTTTACGAATACGCCCCAGACTTTGCGAAGGCGCCTCCAGTGGGGAGGATCAGACCTTCAGACGCAGCTGAGCAGATGGCATCCATAAATAGTCTTTTACGGCTTGAAAATACAGTCCACGCTGTCGGTATGCTTGAAGATGAGGAGCGATTATTTTCACCCCCTAGAAACAGGGGCGCGCAATGAACAAAAGTAATCGCTCTCTGTCTCCGCCCACTCAATCAGCGAGGATTATGGCTCAAATGACTGCTGCATCATGGAGAGCTCACCTTTTTGCATTACGTATACCGAGTTCTTAAGCTTCAATTTCTACATTTGCTACGCAAACACACCTGTTTATTTAGCTAGTTTGACTACAGTTTTACCTTAGTTCCTTGAAGTACCGGTACTCACCCTAGGATATGCCTTGCCCATCCCTGCAGCTGACAAGGGCGAGGCGGTGCATTCAGTGGCAGGTGGCACGCTCACCTAGCGCTTAACCAGGTCGATTGAACCCCGGATCGGCTCTCGTCCAAGTCAGCCAAGCCTTCTGTCTTCCGCAAAAGGTGGATTGGTGTCACATCCGTCCGAAAGGACAAGAGCGCAGGCCTGTACATCGGCTGGCCCTGCAAGCCACTGTGTAGGTCACATCGCAATCAACAAGCAAATACGATTCTGAACGGAAGCAGAGTGCGCCCGCATCCCAAAAAGGGATCGATCGACGGCGAAGACGTTACCTTTCATCCTCATAGGTACACCTATTCGTTCAGTTTCGTTTGTCTTGACCAGTCAAGTCCTACAGAAGAAATCAGATAAGTTCTGCGTATCCGTCCAGTTAAAGAAGTGAAGGTCAAGGTGGCTTAAGCTACATAGTCCGCTCAAATTTGCCCTTGGATTTCTTGTGTCAATAACTCAACCTTACTTCATACTGGGATTTTCTTGACCCTTTTCCCTTGGTTGATGTTCGAGTAGTCAAACCATAGGCATCGTTACTGTTACCTTGAGATCTGTCGGCATTTACATACACAGTGCGTCGGAAAATTTACGATGATGGCTGGGAAAAAACTGGAATCGACGAGAAACGCTCGTCGCCTTCGACGATAAATGTGATTAGTTCATCGTCACTTCTTCCTCATCAACATCGGGGTAATGGATCATCCATCATTACAGTTTAAAAGCAGCTACTATAACTGGCCCATATCGTTTCATAAAGATAGAAGGGAGAGAAATGGGCTACTCATTCATTGGCATAGACCACTTTACTGTTGAACAACTAAAAGTTCAGCGATTTTCAGGTTCATCAAGAGAGTCAACCCCTAGAAGAGCCTAAAAACAACATCCCGAAGGTTAGTTGTATCAGAGTGTTGAAATGAGTCGGGTGTGGTCATGCGCTCATATTTACGAGCTATCCTATTAGGCGCCTTGATAAGCAACATCAACATCACTATAAAAATAATACCCGACCTTATCAGTTGGGAGATTGCGCCCACAAGTCGAAATACAGAAATTGGGACACGAATTTCCCCTCTCCCGTCTGATATACTCTTACCAACAGTCTTCCATCCTTGTACTGTTTGATGAGGTTGGCAGCTCAAAGGCCAAGGGGACCGACAAAACCCCTAGAAGTGTCAGATTAATACGCCTAGCAGGAGAGAATTCTGCACCCCTGAGCAGGTGCTTTGTGGTGCCTTTTCAAGGAAGGTACCCTTATAGCGCCCTATCAAGCTGCAACATACCGACCAAACGCCCACCGCGCCCGCCCGCCCACAAATGTCCGACCGATCCTGATGCTCGTATCGCTTCATTCGCGAAGTACAATATGAAGCGAAGGGATCGACTCATGATGCCAATGGGACTCGTCCGAAATTGCTTTCATAGTAGAGAACAAGGTGCTGATCACCTCGATAGCGAAGAAAAAAAAAGCAGAAAAAAAGCCCACTGCCCTAGATAGAACCCCATTTTAATCCCAATTCGCACGTGCCCAATCAGTCTATCTCGAGCCCTACGCCCTCATCTGCGCAGCTGCCCCGATAAACTCTACGACCGTACAAGTGACGATTTTCATGCTTTTTCGTCCTGCAGCTTCGTTTTTCACTGAAAGGCGGGCCTTGAAGGCGGAGTCTGGAGGCGGAGTCACTGGAAAAAGGAGGCGTCACTGAACCTATATTGCGCTATAGCGCCCCTCCCTTACAATTTTTTGCCGCGAAACCGGTACAAGGTTGTTCGTCGCGGACCACACTACCCTCCCGACGCCATATTTCAACTTCTATACCTGATCGCGGACCGGGCCTTCAAGCAGAACGAAACATTACCATCCGCAGAGAATCTTTGCAGCATCGGGCAAAAACTTTAGCGCAGGCGTTGGCGACGGAGCCCATTCCGTCTCAAGGACAACTATTTCGGATCGTATAAAGAAGACTGCGACGGGTTGCAAGGAACAGGCCGACAAGGATCGCCTTCGTTTTAGCTCTTGAACGTGGCTATAAGAGAGAAAGGGAGAGAGAGAAAGAGAGAAAAGATTACAAATAATTATTACAACTTACCAAGATGAATGTAGATATTCTGAGCATTCCAACCACTGGGTGGAGCCAGTATTCTACCCGTGTTCGTGTCATAGCTGTAAAAGTAAAACATGTTAAGTATTAGAGCAGGGTTCAAACGTAAAAGTAAAACATGTTCAGTATTAGAGCAGGGTTCAAACAAGTTATAGCGTTTCAATGTGGCAAGGCAATGTGGCAAGGCAGTTGGGGGGGGGGACGTCATAGTGCGACTGTACAAGGTCGTGTCTTGTTTTGACAAGTCGCGTCCTCGTCACGCCTTCCCCAAACCTAATAACGGCTACCTACGCTAATTCCCAATAAAATCGATTTTCCGCACAGAATACACCATGGGACAGTTCAAAAATTTCCCGGAAGCTCTTTCATCGAGAGCGCACAGACAGTTAGACATGACGCGGCACGGTCGCGCCACCGCGCTAAAGACGCTCGACTCAGTCCTTACATGCTGTCAATCCGTCTGCACTTACAAGCTCACTGGCTGATAACGCCAGTGCGAGGGCGACTCTGTAAGGATTCCCCCCCCCCTACCTAAGCCCTGTCATACTGTCATACTCATACTGGTACCTACTCGAGTGGTCGACGTTGACCATCTTCGCGATAGTATAAGCCATGTGCTCCTGGAACAACGGACTGTACCGAGGCGAACACTATACCGCTTTCATCGGTTGCCACCTCGACTGGTTCAATTTGAAGCCGTACCCATGCTGAAATATGAAGATTATTGATTCGGATAATTGAATACAATAACTTCCAACAAGTTCTACTGCCTAGTATCTGGTGTTAGCTACGGATTGTTGGAGCACTTTTGTTGTGGTTACTAGTAAGGAATCAGTGTTTAAAACCAGTCGTCTAAGGTCAATTTGATCACGTGTGGCAATGATAACAACTTTATTTTCGGTGTGATTACACAACATTGTGCTACCTGTCAACAAGGAGTACTGTAGGATTACTACTGTGACGTTGAATAGTGCAGTTGATTGCAAAGTTCACAACACTCATTAATCATGCAAAAATCACAGCACAGGCAGTATCAGTAAGGAAAACTAGTAGCCAATGAGATTAGGAACGTTTGCTTCCACGCTAGTCGAGGGCAAGGGTATTTGGAGGGAGTACGCACAGTTGCGTTCTTCGTGGTACGTAACGACTGCTTGTCTGCTTCCTCTCACCGAAATAGTGTGGAAAGAAAATATTCGTCACCATCCTATCCACGATTATTTTTATCAGTACAAGAGAGGGCTGGAAGCGCTGCAAATCTGCTTCGAATCTGCGCAAGAGAGGCCCTGAATCGCTTCAATCCTGTTGCCCCCGTATCTCGGTGAGAGAACGCAGACTACCAAACACGGCGCGGTCCAGCCGCGCCACCACATGCCCAACTTTCTCAATCACCTTTGTCTCGAATGTTGCGGTCAGTGAATGAGCCACTGGGGAAATGGAAAGGTTTGAATCGAGTACCTTGAAGTTGACCATTTGGCAACCTAATCTAGGAGATTGATCTCGAGAGCGGGGCATAAAATATATGGTTCTCAACTAGCGCAACACTCAGATATTCGGTCAATTAGTATTATTCACTACTAAAATAGAGCGATTCGGGAGACTATCACGCTCCCAGGAAACAAGTTTATATGTCTACACACAAATCATGACTATTGATTGGCTGGAGATCAAGGCTCATTTAGCCGGTTGGAGCCTTTTGCTCTGGTATGCAACGAATCCCTTGAAATCCACGTTTCCACCCAAGTGAATGTTCTGCAAAGGTCTAAGGCTATTCCAAAAAGAGTTCTGCAGAAGGTACTTCAGTAAGCTAAGTACAACTTTTTTAACGGCCGTTACGCTAACAACTGTTGCATGGTGGAAAAAAGACCGATTGACGGCATTCTTGAAGGATAGCCATCGATAAAAATAAGCGGAAGGGTTTCAAGAACTCAGGTTCCAGGCAGTACTAGGCCTGCCTGTCACGGGAAAAAAACAGGATAAACTCACTTTTGGACAGCGGATTTATAACATCGCTGGCCATCTCGCGCGTATCCTAAAAATAGTATTTAGGTTCATTATGGTACAAGTGCACTGGACAGAAAAGTTGACACGGAAATGATTACAAGAGGTAACTTATAAGAGTTACTGCGTGAAGACGATTACCAGTATTTCGTGCTGTACAGGGTCTTATCAAACAACCTTTTTGCAAAAGAGAAATATTGAAAACAGCTGAGGAATTACTGAATGAGTTTGGCTTCGTGCCTGTGAAGAAGCATGCCAGTGAAGGCAGGGTATCGTAACAGAAGTACTACCAGAACTGCTGTCTACACTATTAGTATGAATAGGCGTATGATTCAGATGCGTATTGATTCGTTATGTTCCAACGTGTCCGCGCCCATCTTCTGGAAACTCGTTGTAGGGTGAAGTATCGTGAAGAAATCGGGTTGCAGAAAGGGGTGGTTGAGATAGGGGTTGCAGGAAATATGGTGATGTGCAGGAGGATTCCAGCACTCGGCGTGAATGAGCAGTACCGAGGGCGTGATCCGCCGAATGGGCCCCTAGATGAAAAACGCATGTTGCGTGGTGGAAAGTATAATAAATTAGGGGAGAGAGAGGGATGAGATGGGTGAACGCAGGTGTTCATGGGTATCGATTAGAGTATTATTTGCAAAAGTTCATCCTATTCAAATTGAATTTGAAAATAGAATTCCTACGAGAGATGAGGCAATACTGGTCCCAGCGACAATATCATCAACTATAATTGTATTAGAACATACATCGATTGGAAAGTACGTAGTCTGCTTGGAAACTGTGGAGGCGAGAAATGGGGCAGGTTTTTGGAGGGTTCTGCCCAAGTCCATCCCAGATGTGCCGACAGTATGCCAAGCGGGACGAATACAACAGGCGCATGCCTGGAAGAGGAATGCGCGAGTCATCGGAAAAATATTCAGCATTTGAAGGGAGAAGACTGTGAATCAAGCCAGCTTTACGGTTTTTTGGCCCGTAATAAGAAAAATGGTGGCTAGCGCTTGAGCAGTATAGTATAAAACTTTCTCCCAACTGGCGTTCAAGAAATGGAATCGCGATCTGAGCCAGACCTGGCTGCTACTCCTCAGTCTACCGTAATCATTGCAAAGGAACCCGTCGAAGAATCCAAGTACAGAGGAGACAATAAAAAATGACACTCGTGGCTCATGGAGCGCACGTCTAGAACTTGTTTAGTGCTAGAATCCATCAAGCTGACCTGCATGGGAACCGAGGACGCTTGAGGGAGAACTTAACTATCAAGGTTGGGTCATGAAAATGAGTCACGGACCACCCACTGTCCCAGTAAATAGAACTTGCGCCTTCTTGTATGGAAGGTATGGAAGCGATAGTCCCCAAGAGCCTGAACTTGTGTGACCCTCCCCTGGAAATTATGGAGCATCTCCTGACCAAGGCAAATACCGTGGGCTTTCCTGAGCTCGACGGCAATGATTGATGGCTTCACTTTCTAGCACCGGTGGGGCGATAGTTGAGGGCTTGCTCCCACTTATACAGGGACAACTGAGGAATGAGGTACCATAGGTCTCGCATGTTCTTTTGCACTCTGTGTAAAGTAAACTAAGCGCTGATGACGAGCACCGTGAGCAAAATGCCCATATACTCTGGTCCCTGCCCCATATCGTTCTAGCCCCAAGGTGTCCCTGACCCACTCACCAAGTAATATGACGACCGAAATTGGAAGGCCTACAGAGTGAGCGAAATCGGCAAGTTGACACAGTTGACACTACTTCAACGACATCAAAGTAACTTAGCAGAATGAATGAAGTATTTATCACCACTTATGAAAGTACTGGT